AGTATGATTTTTTGGCTCAATTTTTGTTTTGTTTATATCGAAATAATGGAATATACATCATTCATTAATTTTTGCAAAAGAATAATGATACTGTTTTGCGCTACATCAAAAGAGAGAACCATTACAAGAAAAAAGTTTCAATAATTTTTCACCATTCTATCGCATTTCATCCTTCTTCATTAGAAACCATAACATTTTTTATTCGCAAGTTAGGAGAATCAACATATTTGTTTCACGTCCCTGATGAAGCAACTCGTAATTGGGTTCTCCAGAGAGGTTTGTGGCATGTTGATGATTGTTTGATGGTTGTATCTACTTGGACTACTGCAGACACTATTTCTTTGCCGGAAATTACAACTGTTCCGGTCTGGTTGACATTAAAAAATATCCCGGATCAGCTCTACTCAGTTATGGGCATAAAGTGGATTGCATCGGGTATCGATGAGCCTATGTTAACAGAAAAGCCATGGCTTGATCCAACACAAATGGGGGAAGCCAAAATACTAGTCAAGGTAAAGCTCAATAAGCCATTTCCTCAAAAAGTTGCTCGTCTAGACAAAAGCAATGCAATCACCATGGTGGATGTTGCTTACTCGTGGTTGCCTTCTAATTGTGGTATTTGTGGACAATTGGGTCATAAAGCATCTCATCGCTTACTTCAAAACACAATAAAGCCTCCTCTCCTCTACCATCTTAAGATCAAGTTGTTGGATTACCTACTGCAGTTATAGACTCAAGAAGATGGGTCCAAAAAATGACTACTACCCTTACTTACTACAGCCCTCTGATACAGTCTCTTCTCGCCCCATACCCACTTCTGATCAGGAGAACACCACTGTCGATACTCCAACTGCAACAAGTACTTCCTCTGCTTACAAGATCATTTCTTCTCCTTTAGGTACGAGTAACTCTAGAAACAACAACTCTTCTACTATGGTCTTGTCTAAAGAGACCTCCACTTCCAAAAATGCCTCTCCTACTACTCTCAGACAATGCACAACATTCGAAGGTGTTCATCCAGCAAAGATTTAGGTTCAAACTGGTTTGCCTCTTGGTTTCTTCAGAGGTTGATGACGAAACTCACGTTCCGGACGAAGATCCTGACCCGAATGGATCTACTGACTTCATTGGGCAAAATAATCCTTAGAGAAAGACCGGTTAAATCATCCACAAAGGCTAAAGAGATGTAAACGCATTTCAAATCGGCTTCGCGTGAAAATCGAAGTCGTGGTAATAGAGGTCGTGGATAAATCGAAGCGGAAGATTCGATTTACTATCTATTTTTATTGTTGAAAATTTGTCTTTTACACTTGATGTAATCTGCTCTTAAATACTATGACGGTAAAACGTCTTATTAGTAAA